ACAGTATCTCCCAGCCCTGGTCACAGCTACAGAGCTCTCCAGGGCTCACCGAGTGTCTGAGTTTGAACCTCCTCCCAAACCTAGAACAATGAAATAGGTGGTTCCAGGAGCTGCTCTCTGGTGTCCTTTCTGCTCTATTCATTTTCCACAGGACAGATCCTGATGCCACCAGGTATCCTGGGTGTCCTCAGCCCCTGCACAATGCTCCGGCCTGGCAGAGCTTCACTCCTGCTCTGCTCCTTGGTCTCCAGGACCCCAAGGTGTCAGCTCCCTGGGGGATGGAGGAGAGCTCCCTGGGGGAGCGAGGAAGTGACTGTCTCTGGATCACATGGCTTTCAGAGCTTTCAGAGCACACATGATGCAGCCAGAGGCCTCTGGAAGCCCTGCACATTTGCTAAAAGAGACTTTTGATCTCCTGTGCTGCCTGGTGTCAGACTGACAGTTCTCAAGTGAGTGGCTCAACGTGACAGACCACTGACAGGCTTTCATCCGGGTTCTCCCAGGACCCCGCACCTGCATAAGGGCACCTAGAGCTCTGGCCACTCGCCTGCCCCCCAACCAGCCTGGCAGAAGCCCGAAGGTCTTGCTCTAACACGTAAGCCATGGGGTCAGGATCAGAAGACAGCACTGAAAGGAAAAAGAAAGGAGGGCAGAGGCAGCGAGGGAGGGATGGCTCAGGACCTTCAGGACCCGCCACTCCCGGGAACCCCAGGCCATGGCCTCAAGCACTCCTCTCTAAGTGCTGCCTGTGCCACTCTGTCTTGCACCTGGGTCTCATCACCTGTGACAGCACAGTGGTCCTCCACCTCCTCACAGCATCCTGACAGGGTGGCCTCAGAGTCTGGGTGGAGGGGGCCCTGGGCCAGGCCCACACATGCCAGGGTCTATCTAGTCTATCTCACTGGACATGCATGGCTTAGGTTTGCACTGCCTGGTTCTCTTCTTCAACCAGGTGATGCCAGAATTACAGTCTTCTATCAAAATGCAAGTGGGAAAAAGTAAATGATTTCTACATTTAAAAAATATTTCTAGATAGGAACAATGGTCCACCTACAAGCCAGGTGTTGACACTGAGGCCCCTGCAGTTAACACTGAAGGGCTAGAAGATTGCTATTTGGGGTTTTGTGCACTCACCACCAAGCAGCGCACTGTTTACTGCTTTGCAGATGAGGGACTGGAGTAAAGGGGCCACCTAGCCTGCCCAAGATGGAATGAATAACCAGGACAGGGCCTGGATCTGATCCAGGCAGCCTGACTCAGAGTTCCTGTGCCATCTTTTACCTGTGATGTCACAGCTGCTGTGCACCCTCCTCTCCTCAGGCTTCACTCTTGCCCTGCATGCCTCCCTCCTACCCCATCTCACCTGGGCCACTTGTCCCCACACTTCTCCATTTCTCACCCTGACTGTGAGCCACATCAGGGTGATGTTGAAGAGGGAAACCAGAACTAGTGGGAAGGGATTTCCCTTCGGGACATTTGCTCTCTGCTATCCCCAAAGCCTGTCTGATTACTCCTCCTTGACAGAGCTGACCTGGAGTGAGCTTCACTCCATTCCAGCCAAGGATCTGGTTTATGCAGCCGCTCCTACCAAGTCGGTGACCACCCTAGAAAAGGGGTCTTCTCTGAGGGCATCAGATCATTCTCTGTGGAAAGCGCACTGAGATGGGCAAGTTGAGGTTCACAGGAGGGAGTGGAGCCTGGCCAGCATGAGCCACATTGCCCTGGGGCTGTGTCCCTGCGGGAAATGGGGACAGACTTGAGAAGGCGTGTCAGAAAGGGAGCCGTGTGATGACACCATTGTCTGCTGTTAGGCAACAGCCTCTGGGGCCAGCCTCTTGCCCACTGGGATTCTGCCCCCAGACATTAATTAACGTGTGCTCCCACAGCTGCTTGATGGCCCCCGACTCCACAGCAACTGTCTGAAGAATGGGAGGGGCTTTGGAGAACATGGCCCAGATCTCTCAGGGCTGCAGCCGAGCAGAGAGGGCAGGAATGCTCTGCACCCATAGCTTGTGAGAGCTCCCTTTCCACGGCCCTGAAATTGACCATTAGGGGACGCCCTGCTGTCTGCTCTGAGGAGGGACACTGGCACTACGTGGAGGCAGCCAGAGATGAGCTGGACTGGGAAATGGACCCCTGACTGGGTGCTCAGACCAGGTGAGAGATGGTGCAGAAGCGTAGGGTGGTGGCCAGGTGTGATGGGGTGGAGCATGGTGTCCATGGCAGAGGGGAAGGCAGTGTGGCAGGGCACAGGGGAGGACACCCACAGGAAGGGATGGCACAGGGACTGCGAGTCAGGCTGCCTGGCTCAGATCCAGGCCTGTCCTGGGTTCCCACTTGACCTTGGGCAGATTAGATAACCTCTCTGGTACTGTGGAAACCCCTAGCCCAAGGCTGGTGGCAATAATGAGTGAAGAACCTAAAGCAGTGAAGGCTGCCTCGTTAGTACTTAAGAAACACGACTATTTCAACTACCATCATTTTCTATATGTTGGCATTTCTGCCTCTCCAGAAATTTATTTTAAACTTCATGATTAATTTTTTTTCTTTCTTAAGTAATGATTTTTATGTAATTGTTCTTCAAGTTTTGTTGAAAAACGGTGTAATGGTGTCACCAAGTTCAAAACAATAACCAAGCAGAACCATACATATAGCTTCCAAGTCAAAGACGGGACAACGGGACCAGGACCAGCTCAGGCTTTATGACCAGCCAACCATGAGGCCTGAGGAGACAGAGGGTAGCTCTTCCACAGGTGGCCCTGCACTTTGAACCAGCCACAGGCGGGTCACGCCCCAGGCACTGCTTCCATAGGTGAGTGCAGTGGGATTTCCAGGACTGGCCCCACGGGCTCCCTCCCCCTCCCTGCCTCTGTCCTTCCTCCTCTTTCCCTCCCCCAGTACTGAGGAGCACCATGTGCCATACTGTGTCAGCACTGAGAGACAGGCACAGAGAGCCAAGCTTCCCCAGCAGAGACAGTGACAGCAACCACTGAGCCTGTTGGGAGCATCCAGGTGAGGCTCGGTGAGGACCCAGGCGAGGCTCCGTGGATGGCATGTCCATGCTGTGGGCAGTCATTTTAAGCTGGTACTTACGAACCCACTGACCTCCACTCATCAGTCCTTGAGATCAAAGCTAGCTTTTTTTATTATCTTAAAACCCTCCTATGAAGAGTGAAGGCTAGTGTCGACCGTAGCTCGGATGATGGTAATGAGACGGCACAGGTCAATTGCAACAGTGTTCAGGAAGGCTGCTAATGGGGGAAGGGAGCCATGCATTGGGTCAAGTGGTATGAAAATCCTTGCTCTCAATTTTCCCATGAACTTGAAAATGCTCCAAAATTATAAAGTCCATTAAGAGTCATCTTCCAAAAAGAACTTCTAAACCCCCTTCCCATGTCAGTACCCTGATGTGCTTTGAAAATGGAAGGCATCTTCGAGGTAAGTGTCTGGCCAGCTCTCTCTCTCTCCAGAGGAAGAACCGTCTCATTCAGGTCCCAGAGACCAAAGCAGCAGAGGAAGAATGAGGCTTTCTTGGGGAGGCACATTGTGCAATGGGCTGGTGGCGCTCAGGACAGCCAGCAGCCTCAGGGGGTGTCCTGTGGGCACTGAATAGAGAGCTCAAAGGACACAAGAGACCAGTCTCTTGAATCACCTATTTTGTCATTTTAAGAAGGACACCAAAAGCTAGGCATTGCAATTCTCTCAGACTAGCTCCATGATTTCAACCAGGATTATAGAGAACATACTGACAGCTGGGTGTGGTGGTGCAGACCTGTAATCCCAGTAGCTTGGGAGGCTGAGGCAAGAGGATTACAAGTTCAAAGCCAGCCTTAGCAAGGCCCTAAGCAACTTAGGGGGACTTTATCTCAAAATTTAAAAAAAAAAAAAAGAGCTGGGGATGTGACTCGGGGACAGGGTACCCCTGGGTTCAATCCCTGGTACCAAAAGAAAAAGGAAAGAGGAGGAAGAGGAGGAGGACATTCTTAGAGCTTCTTTATAAGAATCCATTTCTTCTTAAGCTGTGTTGGCCAAGACAACACATGGACAGATCCACATACAGATTTGGCCACTGAGCAGCCAGCATGCTGGACTCAAACCAGTGCCTATGATTAGAGCATTTGTGCCATTTTCTATGACTGCATTTGAGGACAAATATCAGGAATGGTGCTGAGTTTAAGGCATTGACCACTGGTCACTATTACTCTTACTTTAAGAAGATGAAACCAGTCAAGGCCTGAAGCACTATGGTTTCTCATAGAGAGCAATGTCCACAACCCTGTTCCAATCAAGCCACTGTAAGACATTCTCTTATGTGCAAGGCAGCTATAAGGGGGGTCCCTACGACCTCCCAAATTGGAATTAAGCTGATACGAATGTATGCCAAGTGCAAAAGGAAGTCTATACCACCTATCCAAACTTTCTATCTGCCTCTTGTGGGTCATAGTTTGGGCCAGAGCTCAGGACCACCAGCTCTGAAATGTGGCTTCCATGGCTGTGGGTGATGGGGTGGTTCGTGGTACCAACAGCTCTTGCCACATATTGCCTCTGCCCTGCTCCACTCCATGGATGCACCCAACAGGTTTCAGACCAACCAAGGTTTCATAATAATGAAAGGCATCTGCAGGCAGCAGCACACGCAATATTATCAGGCATGCTGTGTACTCCTGTTCTTAGATGACGTTTGGCCCTGATCCTGATCCCTGGGACTTTCTCGACAGTTACTCTTCTCTGAAGAACCCAGTCGATTCCTTCCATGCCTCTCCTCTAGTCTATTCCTGTTTGTACCATTCCCAAATCCATGTCAACACTGCGTGCAGAGTTCTAAGAAACGCTCTGGTGCCAGCTGTTGAGTTTCCCTTTTATTTATTTGTTTAGTTTTGCACTGAGGTTGCCATTCAAGGGAAGTACGTGTGACACGTTTTAAGGGAAATAAAGCCAGCCCCTCTCATCAGCACTTGTTTTTTTCTCCTCCATCTAGTGCACCTCTGGGAGTTCCGAGCATGGAGAGAGGGAATGACACGGGGACGGGTTTCTTTCTCCTGGGGCTTTTCCCAGGGCTGTGGCAGCTTGGCACCCTCGTCACTTGTGTCCTTCTTGTCTATATCTTCGCCTTCACGGGGAACTTGGTCCTGGCACTCTTGATCTGGGCCGACTCTCGCCTCCACACCCCCATGTACATCCTCCTCAGCCAGCTCTCTCTCATTGACCTGGCCTTGATCTCCACCACGGTGCCCAAGATGGCCATTAACTTCTTTTCAGGGAAGAAAGACATCTCAAAAGCTGCTTGTGGGGCCCAGGTTTTCTTCTTCTTTACCCTTGGTGGTGGCGAGTGCCTGCTGCTGGCCCTCATGTCTTATGACCGCTACGTGGCCATCTGCAGCCCCCTGCGTTATCCAGCCATCATGAACTCCAGAGTTTGCCTGCAGATGGCGCTGGTGTGCTGGGGCGGAGGGGCCCTGAATTCCCTGGTCAACACCATCTACACCATGCATTTCCCCTTCTGTGGCTCCAGGGAAATCCACCACTTCTTCTGTGAGATGCCGGCCATCCTAAAGCTCTCCTGCGGAGACACCTCCCTCTACGAGACAGTGGTGTCCATCATCTGCATCGTGTTTGTGCTTCTCCCCCTGGGATTCATCGTCTCTTCCTACATCCTAATCTTCCTCACCGTCCTGAGGATGAACTCTCCAGAGGGCAGGAGGAAAGCCCTGGCCACCTGCTCCTCTCATCTGGCTGTCGTCAGCCTCTACTATGGGCCAGCCCTAGTCATCTACATGACCCCCCAGTCTGCCCACACTGCAGAACTGGACCAAGGGCTCTCCATGATCAACACCATCTTCACCCCCCTGCTCAACCCCCTCATCTACAGCCTGAGGAACAAGGATGTGCTTACTGCACTGAGAAAGGTGGTGGGGCGAAGGGGCACTTTAAATTGGACATGAACAGCCTCCCCAGCTGCAGACTCAGGACCACCCAGCAGCAGAGAGCCTGAGCTCCACACCTGTGGCACCTGCGAGGTGAAGCGCTGTTCCCTCCACCGCCCTGTGACCTACGGTCTAACTGAGCTGAAATGAACAGAACCTAATGCTTGGACACCTAGCTTGGACACCTGTCAGCTGTGTGAAAAAAAGAACTGTATTTAACTTCTCTGTGCCAATTAAGACGTTGAACTTGACCTTGAAGATCGTTTCCATACTTAAAATGTTTCCCAATTCTCTCCTAAGATTCTAGGAGATGTATTTGGCTCCATCCCTGATTCATATTTTTGAAGTGCCTTTTGAAGTTTATCCTGTAAAATGTGTCAGCATAATTCCTCTTTCATAATGAATATTGAGATTTTACTTGGTCATTATTAAGTTGCTCTGGGGTTTTGAGGGTGGTTCTGCCCAGTGTTTGGTAGATGTGTGATTCCCTACAAAACTGTCTGTGGCCAGTTCATTAATAAAGAAATAGTTTAGAACAAAACACATCCTGGGAACCAGGAAGGAGAGTGTGCCCTTGAACACCCAGTCCCTGGGAGGTCACAGGAACAGCCTCTCGTTCTTATGGAACAGGAAGCAGATACAGGAACCTGTCTGGGTTGGAAAAACAAGGGCTCAAGAGGAAGCAGGGATGGAGAGAGAGGCCCAGCGCACATGGAGTGTCCACAGCAGTTGCACACTGGGGTCTCCAGGTGAGGACAGGCTCCCTGGGAACGCGCACCTCTAGTGGAGGCTTGGGTAGAGGCACACCTGAGGGCCGCGGGCTGAGCTGGTTGCTCAAAAGAAATGCACGTGAAAAACCCATCGCACTCACGGCTTCACATTACATAGACCAAGGAGAGGCATCCTGTGGACGCCCTTGCTTTTCACATGACCATCTGGACACCAGGAGAACGTGGAGCGCTGGTTCTTGTTCCTGTCCATCTCCCAAAGTCTCCACAAGGATGATTCCTGGGCTCTTTCCTCGGCACTATTGGCTCTGCCACCTAGCTGTGTGCCTTAGTGGCTTAGGAGATGGCACAGTTAGCCTCCACTGCACTCTTTTTGATGACGCAGGTTAATCATGACATCTTTTGGTATCACTCTCAATTCTAAAATGCTATTATTCAGGAGTGAAATTATGGAAAACAAATTGCAAATAAAAACACATAAAACAGTGTGCCCATCAGGAAGGTGGATTGATGCCTGGGACTTTCTGACAGATGCTAAAGTGCTCCATACCTTGGACACCTGGAGTCATGCCACACTCATGCCCCAAGTATGAGTCTGATGACTCAGGAGAAGCCTGACTCCAGGCTCCCAGGATCCTGTCCCGACCTTGCTGAAAAGCAGCAAATGCAGGACTATTCCCTGTGCATTATTTATTTATTCTCAACATAACAGTAGGGACGCTGTCTTCCCTGAGTCACAAACATGTTCAGTGAGCTGCCCCAGGTCACACCTAGTTCTGAAGCCAGGCTTCTAACTTCAGGGGGGTCCCTACAACAGGACAGTAACACTGAATCTGTAAAACCACACAGTGGGGTCGAGTCTCCATAATGGTGGCAGGAGAGGGCAGAGAAAGGAGGGACCTCTCCAGAACTGAACCACGTCAGGCCCCCTCCTTAGTACCACAGGCGCAGGGCTGCTGGGGAAGGGAGAGGGCCTTCAGCAGTGCGTGGCCTGTTGTCCAGGGCAAGGGTGAGGAGGAGGGGTTGTGCAGGAATGACTTGTGGTCACAAAGGACATGAGAAGACTCGGCTGGCGACTGAACAGTCCCCCTGAGCCACATCCCACACCGTCCACCACTAGAGAGCTACCTGGGCTGGAACCTCATCGCTTCAGAGCGTGCCGTACACTCACTCACCGAATGACCCAGACCAGACACTGAGAGTCCCTGGCCATATGAAGAAGTGAACAAGACTCCTCTGGTGCTGTGGTTCTGGTCAATTAGCTGCTTGGCTACCTTGTCGTGGTGGGCGGAATCAACACACAGACTCCAGGAGCTGGTGAGAGAACTGGCAGGAGACAATCCTCAAGTTGTCGTCCAGTAGCTCAGTTTATTTTTGGAATGCATACAATTGTTATAGGGTTCGAGTGGGGTGTGTGCCCGTCAATCATACACAAGCAAGATAGTATCCATAAGCCAATCATCTTCTGCCTAATGTAACCACACTATGAGGATATTCTAAATATTGCTATCATCAGGAAGGGTCTTTGTCCCTAGGGGAGGGAGTTTCTAAGTTAGAAGTTCCATGTCAAAGCTCCTGGCTATCAGTCTCCTGGCCTGACAGCTTGGTAAGGCTAACCACAAGTGCTAAGGATGTGGTTTCACTAACAGCTCGCTAGAGCAGAGCATCCCATCCTGCAGGAATCCCTATCAGGCCTGAATGAGTGTCGATTCTTCAAGCACTCCGAGCTGCTCACAGCTGCTAGCTGCTAGCTGTAAACTGAAAGTTATTCCAACACTCTGGGGAGGGCTTGGTCCACGCTGAATGCTTTTTATTTTGTGAAAAGCCACCATGAGAACCCAGACTCCAGGAAGTCTGGGAAGATGTGGCTAAGAGACATTAAAGTGTGTACCCTAAGGACATCTGACCTCCACTGACGCGTTGCTGCAGAGCCCCTTTTATCAGCCTAACTCCACGCCGAGATTGAACCAGACAAAACGGCTGGCATAACTCAATTCTCTAAGGATCTTTATTCCCATTTTTAATAATTTGTTTAATTGATTTCTGTGAACCAGGAAATCATGGTGTTGTCAACTGGGAGAAAACGGGATTCCCAATAGCACGTGCCCCCCACCCCTGGTTCTGCACAGGTGAGTATTTAATAGAAGAATGTGGGGACATGGGCATACTTCTGTGGACTGAGTGACTTACAGAGTGACCTTCAAACCAAGTCACTTTTTTTTTTGATGAAGGTATTTTTTTGTTTTCTTTTTTTTTTAAATTTATTTATTTATTTATTTTTTTAGTCGTACATGACAGCAGAATGTATTTTGACATATAATACATACATGGAATGTACATACATCAATCATATCACTTTTTAAAGGAGCAACCACATGCAACACAGCAGAACTGGGCCTGAGGAACGGCTGTCCACAGCAGCAGGAGCCGAAGACGTCACCACAGACAGACTTGGCTGCAATGATCATGCAAGTTTCTCTTCAGAATATCTAACCATCCTTCAAGAAAAAATTGACCATAAATGTACCTAAAACACGTCTGACTGATTCTTCTACCCAGTTAAAAATGAACCTAACTTTGGATTTCAACAACAGCTCTAATTCACTAGTCTGAAATATACTGACAGTGCTGATAGAAACCACCCTGAGAAAGTAAAGGAAAACTACATACATCCATAAAGAGACAGAAATTATAGAAAGAAACCAAATTGAAATTCTGGAGCTGAAAAGCACAATAACCAGATGAAAACCTAACTAGAAGGGCTTAACAGCAGACCAGAGCAGGCAGAAAAAAGAATGAGCCAATTTATACTTGAAATTACATAAACAATTAAAATTATCCATAATGAGGGGCAGAGGGAAAAAAAAAGAATTAAAAGAGTCAACAGAGCTGTTTGCCTGTAGGACATTACCAAGAAAATCTCCGTGCACAGTACAGGAGAGTAGACTTGAGGCCAGAGTGAACCACCGTGGTGTGCACCTGTGTGTGCATGGCTCCGGAGGCCAGAGGACTGCAAGTCCAAGGCCAGTCTGGGAGACTTAGCAGGACCTGACTCATAATAAAATTTAGGAAAGGGCTGGGGTTGTAGCTTAGTAGTGGATCATCTCTGAGTTCAATCACAAAAACAAAACAAAACAAACAAACAAACAAACAAAAAACCCAATCACAAAAATAGGGTTGGGGGTTAAAACCACTCATGTGGCATTCACAATAAGATGACCAGAGAATTCTCCACAGACACCATGGAGTTTAAAGGCAGTGGGGGAAAAAAAATTTAAATATTGAAAGAAAAAAAATAGTCAAGGGTTCTGTATCCTCCACAACTCTCCTTCAGGAATGAAAAAGAAATCAACACATTTCCCTGAAATGAAAGGACACTGGATAGTAACCCAAAGCCATGGTGAGCAGATAAAGACACTGTCAAAAGTAACCGCAAAGGTAAATATAAAAATCAGTATGTTTGTGACTCCTCTGTTATCTTATGTGGTTTTAAAAGGCAAATGCATAAAACAATAATTCCAAGTTTACACAAAAAATAACATAATCTATAAAAATCTGTGAAAGAGCAACATCAAGGAGAGGTAGGGAGATAGGAGCAGAATGTTTCCATGCTATTTAAACTAAATCTACTTAGGGGATCAATTGTAATCCTCAAACTAACCACTTACAAAATAACAAGAAAATATTCAG